AAGAAATATATGGGACACAGAAATGGATAATTATCTATTGATCATAACATGTAAGGTTTCTTCAACTGGACTGGTGTGAAGTGTATTCCTGTTGGATAAATTCACTTTACAAGATGTAGTGGTATGTAGTGATTGAATGTACAAAATAAATATTTAAAAAAGAAGAAAAAGAAAAAATGGCACTGATAGACTTACGTGGTGCATAGTTGTCACAAATCTTCATTATGTAAGAAATGCAATCTCTGTAAAGTGCAACCAAGTGAAGTTTAGTAAAATGAGGTATACCTGTAAATAAAACAAATGTAAACTGAAAACATGATATAAAAATATGATAAATATAGATTAATTTCACCTAGGAGAAGATATGGATAATGTTATATTTTAGAAAGTTTATTTATTTTTTGAGAGAGATTTTTGCAATAGGATGCATGTCGTTCTACAGAGACAGAGAGAAAAAGAAAGCAATCACTCCCCAGGGGCCGATGGCCATTCCAAATGCCTTCTCCTCCATTTTCCTCTTGGGATTTTGGGCACTCATGCACATGAACCCCGTGTGGATTTGAAGCTGCCAGGTCTGGGACTGTTAACTATGTGGGAGTCAAGCTACGTAGCTATTATGCCATCTGCTAGCCCCTGTTTTAGAAACCTTAAATCTAGTTATATGCTTCTTATAAAAAAAACCACCATGAGCAGACTGCACAGAAAGGTTGAAAATAAAAGAACGGAAATACTAAAAAAATTTACAACTCCTGCAATAATATTAAAATTATGAAAGACCCAGAAGACAAAATTACCAACATTGGATGGATCTTTTTTTTTTTTTTTTTTAGATTTTTGCTATAGGGCGCATGCACTAGCCAGACGGACAGAGAGACAGAAAGCGAGAAATCACCCCCCAGGGGGGATGGCCATGCCACAATCCCTTCTACTCCGTCCTCCTCTCGAGATCTTGGGCACGCATGCACACGTGCCTGGTGTGCGTTTTAAGTCACCAGGTCCGGGATGCGAACCGTGGTCGACTACATGGGAGTCCAGCGACATAGCCATTACACTAACTGCTGGTTCCAACATGGATCTTGAAGCAAAGAAAAGGTTTCTGCATGACTAGTATGAAAGGAGGCAGAGCAAACCTCAAATTTACCTTCTTGAACGTAAGAGGGTAGGGTCTTTTATAGAGGAATAATTCCTGCCCAAGTTCTAGATTAGGTTCTTTTTGCAAATGAAGGAGCTGGTTACACTAACAGCTCTAACAATGTTGTGATGGAAGTGGTTTGGTTCTAAAATATTCAGGATTTGTGTGACCTGGTTGTGAAAGTATTGGTAGTTTGAACTTCTAATGATGGGAGGAGATGTACCACAGAGTTCAGTAAACAAGACAAATCAGCATATAATAATGTAATTTTTCCTAAAAACCAGGACCACTACAAAGTTTGATGTAATAACAAACCATTCTACTGTGAATTTTAATATATCATGCGGCAAATGGTCCTGCAAAATTTAACAACTACTATATGGGTTAGAAGTCCATATAATAGTTACCTGTGCCTGGATGTTTGTGCCATCATTCAACATTAAATGAGGTTCCTTTGTATATACATTGTACTAGTTTCTTTCTGTATTTCTATGTGTTTCTGAGTGATTGGTGACTAAATGAAGTTTTACATAATTAAAAAGTAAAAGTACATTTCTACCACAAAAAGGAAATACGTATTTCTAAAGGAAAATTTCTCCTTAATTTTAGAACCATGTGGGCTAATTCAAATGTTTAGAATTCTTTGGTTTTGCCTACAGTGTTTAAACTGAAAGAAAATCGTATAAAAATACATTGTATTAGGCTTTGAATATTTGTGAGGATAACAAGTTATAATTCCCCTATTGAAAAACTATCTCAAAAAATGCCCAACTGGTTGCATTTTTTTAAAACTCACCTAGTGAAAAAACCACATGCAAGAACTTTTTTGAAACTGACTAGTTCGCGGGTTCCACTTCCTGTTGTGAGAAGTAGAACGTTATCTTAGACTTCCCTGAAGTTCTCAAACATTGTTTTCATTCTCTCATAAACCAATTTAGGTTTCAAATGAATGTAAATCAAATGAAACCAAAACTCCCTATAATTGGCTATTTCTATAATATGCAGTCTGTTTCTGTTGTTTCGGGGGAGATTGACAGTGAATAATTCACTGTGGAAGTACTATCATGGCAGAATAAACTCAATGACCAAGATCCCCTCTCTTCTTAGAGAGGGTCCAATGGTGTCTTTTTATTTTTTCTCAAGAGATTGCTACTTATTGCATTTGAGGGACTGTCCTGTTTTGGACTATCTCCATCTTATGTCAGCCAATGTACAAGAAACTGACCATAGCCTACTGGCTCGTCTTGGACAAAAGCCTACCCTGTGATTTGCAGTTTTCCCTGGAAGCAGCTCTGACATTTGTTGGTGGTGCTCCCAGGGATGAGTTGAGGGGAAGAGGTGCCTGGCACCCAAGCAGACGGGAAGAATGAACTGTGCCTCCTGCCTCCGGCCTCTGTCCACAGATCCTGCAGCTAGCTGTTCTCTGGGGACTTCCCTCCTGCTCATTCTTTTTAAAACTCCTGTTTTCATTTGAACAAATGCAATTTCAACTTACTCTTCTGGGCCCCAGCACTCTAGGAATGACTATCAACAACTCCCTTTTCTCCCTATTTCATTGGGATTTTGTCTTAAATGCTCCCTGGGGACTCCTCGATCCTAGATTTCCCAAATCATATCCATCATCTAAATTCATTTACTCTCTTATTTACTCTTAGTCTTGGCTCTCAGCCAAATTTTAGCTGCCCGAATAATTCTGGAAAAAATATTTCGTCAATAGGTACTAATTGGGTTTTGCTGACTTCAGATAACTGGTTTATCAAAATAGATGCCAGGAAACTATTTGAGGGAATGGAAGGAATTTTAGACTGAGAAGCTGAGTGTGGAAGAGATCTGTGAAGTGAAGCTGAGAGTAGGTCTCTTCCATGATAAGATATCTAGATTTTTAGGAATATGCCATGACCGTGACATGTCTATAAATATTGCCTTTGTTAAGTTCTTTTTTTTTTTCGTATGGATGATTAATGTCTTTGAGAATAAAATTTTATTCTAACATTTATAAACTAAAAGGTCAGTGCAGTATTTCCCAGCATATATATTCTCCAGGAAATATAACTTAAACAATTTAGCTTTATTGTTATTGCTGTAGAAAATGTAAGACATACTTACAAAAATTAACACATATTTTAAAATGTTTAGATATGCAGTATTTGTTTGTATCTCAATGATTATAATACATGGTAATGTTCAGTTTTACAAGCATTTCATAAATCTTGTCAAATCTGTATGAGATCTGTGGGATCGTAATTACTATAAATATCTTTATCCTATAAATGAACTAGCAGGTTTAGAAGCTGACCTTTCCCTCGGCAGCTAATTATGACAGTCACGAATCGATCCAGGCCTCCTGTTTAAAAATCCTCTCTTATTTCTATCATATATGCTTCCCTCTTCAAACATATAGTAGAACCATATATAATTACTACTGGATAAATAGTTAGATAGAATAAAGTCCAGGCATATTTAGAATAACATTACAAAATGTCATATAGGATTATACACCAACTTTTAGAACTACTTTTCAATTGTATAATTGCCCCGCCCCTGAATCTTCTACCTGTTGACATAAAAGCTTAAGTCATTTAAAGCCTGAGTAAATGTCCCCACTTAATATATACCGAGTGTCCGCACTCTATGACTGAAACCGAAAGAACATAGAAACACAGTATATAGATGTAAATACCAGATATATTGTGTGTGAAAGAGGAGGGTCTGAGGAAGGACATTTAGAAGAAAAATAGGGAGGCAAATCATTAATGGGACAAAGAAAAGTGGTATTATTTGTTGAAGATATTTTGTAGTTTCATCAACTGAACTAGGGAGAAATGTTCACCTGTTGAAATATTCATTTTGTAAGCTAAATAACGTGATTGAATGTATAAAAGAAAATGAAATAAAAAATGTAAAAAAAAAGTACACTTAAAAATAAATAAATAAATAAAACCTGACTAAATTCAGCTTAGCTTTTATAAAGAAAAAAAATGAAACTACTTTAAGCGAAAATTCTCTTTTTCTCTAAATACACACACACACACACACAACTACTTGAAAGCGTTTTTCTGTGTACCCCATTTTTGCTGATATTCTGGTTTGATATGGATTGTTTAAAATGTATTGTGAAAAAAAAATATTGTGAAAAAAGTGTATATTGTATTTTAGGTATATAATGCCTGATTTGATATTTAAAGGGCAAATATAAAAATAATGGTTGGTAATTAATTTATCCTCAATAAAACGTGTAAGAAGTATTCAGAGACACTTAGGCTAAAAAATTGAAACTTGACTGTAAATAAGAATTTCCTGATAAGGAAGGTTGATAGTTGCTGAGATCTCACTCAAAGAGGTTGTTGATTGTTTTTTTCTGGGATATTTAATTCATGTGGTTTCGGTGTAACCTGGTGTGGTAGCACAACCGTGGGCTTAACATCCCAAGTGAACCTGCGATATTTTGAGATTGTAATAATTATATTCAGGTTTTAAAAATAATTGCTGTTACTTCAAAATGGAAAGAAGAACATATTTTCCTTCTCTCACGAAAACATACAAGGGAAAATATTTTATGATTTTTGAAAACTTTAGTGAGCACAGTTCTAGCATACGTAAAGTAGTAGTGAGAGACCGACTTGTGGGTGGAAACAGGAAACATTGGTGATAAATGCTCATGTTTTTTTTCAGGTTCAGCTCAATGTATATTGATTCTAATTAGCACATTTTGTGCCTCAGCTAGTAGCTCCCCTTTAGCTCTGCTTGGAGAGTTTTTTTTAGATCCCATCCTGCTCATAAACACTGCCACCTCCTCCCTCCTTCTCTCTTTACAAATGTTACAACACAATCAGAAATTTCCTCTTTTCTTTCCTTCCTGCATTTTCAGCAGGTTCCCTTGCGTCAGAAGCCGAGGAAGAAAACTCAAGGTAATTAGATCTCTTTTGTTTCTTCATCCCCTTTCAGTGTGAGTGTGGGTTTTCTCCTGGATGCCTTCCTTCTTTGGGATCAGATTTTTGTCTGTCTTAATGTTAATATTAGGAGGTGGATGGCAGATTAATTTTTGGTTATTTTTGATTGATTTTACGAAATGACGGCATGCTGTTCATTTGGATTAATCGCTCGTGGTATGTCAATAGAGCTTAGAAAAACTGGCACTGAGTCGGGAAGTAGCTGCGTTTTTTAGGTGGGCATTAACCCTTCAACGTCTATTGCATAACGAGTGCTATTATTGTTCCAAAGAGCTAGGCTACTGCAGCGATGTGCCTGCCAGCCTCATGATTTTAATTTTTTCAACTTATTCTTGGCAAATAATATTCTTAGACTAATACCTGCAGATTAGTCTTGCTGTTCCTTTGGCCACATTTGATACCTTCTAAGCATGAAATGAATGTTTAAAAATAAAACAGAGACAGGCTTTTTTTTTTTTTGCATTTACTTTGCATAAATCTTGGTGAAAAATCTAACTCTCGGGAGCTAAACAATTAAAAATTGCCTTTCACTCTGCACGTGAATTAGGGTCAGCGATGTGCCTGCCAGCCTCATGATTTTAATTTTTTCAACTTATTCTTGGCAAATAATATTCTTAGACTAATACCTGCAGATTAGTCTTGCTGTTCCTTTGGCCACATTTGATACCTTCTAAGCATGAAATGAATGTTTAAAAATAAAACAGAGACAGGCTTTTTTTTTTTTGCATTTACTTTGCATAAATCTTGGTGAAAAATCTAACTCTCGGGAGCTAAACAATTAAAAATTGCCTTTCACTCTGCACGTGAATTAGGGTAATACTTTACCTACCATTTCATGTAATTGTTGCAGGTTTTTTCACAATGAGTCGGAGGAGGATATCTTGTAAAGATCTGGGACATGCGGACTGCCAAGGGTGGCTGTATAAGAAAAAGGAAAAGGGAACTTTCCTAAGCAACAAATGGAAAAAGTTCTGGGTGGTGCTGAAGGGGTCGTCGCTGTACTGGTATAGCAATCAAATGGTGAGTTTACTCTCTCCCTCCTGCTCCCAGCCTCCTTAGCAAAGGTGGATTAAAGACCACCAATCATGTGATTCCTATAGGAAAGTTAATTTTGATTTCTGGGTCTTAAAACAGAACAAATAAATAAGTTATAGAAACTCTCTGATGCATTAATATGTAGGTTATTCTATTGTATTTTACAGAATCAACCAAACGCTTGACAATTCTTTCGTTGGGGAAGAAGGGGATGTCCAAATTTATGTCCTTGTTAAAGGGGGCTTTCAGACCCTATTCATGATACCGTTCCATGAGCGACTCTAACATTAATAGTTTTAGGATTTGTGTGCATCACTTAATATGGGAAATGTAGCTTGTTAAGATCTCTACTGAAAAGGGAACTCAGCTTTATCATCTATTAAGGGTATAAGTAACTTGGTTTAGAGAGGCTATTTCCATTTCTCCCTCATTTCCTGTAAGTCCCCTGTTTTCCTCTGACCTTTATATTAGGTGGGTTGGTTTGGGATCGCTAACCTGTGTGCCAACATTGTACTGGTGACTTCTGTTTCTTGTTCCTTGGCATGTTAAGCAATGACATTAACTGATGCTTGGATGACACTTGATAAGATAGTTGCCTAACTTATTCTTTGATAGGCAGCACACCATTGTGGTCTGCTTCACAGGCTAGTTTTCCATGGAAAAGAGCTGAAATAGTTATGGTTAGAGGGTGTGCTGATATTTCATTAAAAATGATGATGTTATTGACTATTGAGTGGGTAGAGACTTTTTCAACCAGGAACTTTCTCCTAACTCCAGTGGTGCCAATTGCTGCTCACGAGAGAGCTTGAATCTCTTAGTGATAAAGTTAATATTGGCAATTGGACCTCCTTTAATCAATTACGGGAAAGTACTTAGGAATTGCTCATAAACCAGAATTTTTCTTTTCCTCTTTTTTCAGTGTGATACCATTCTTTCAAAATGATTTATGCACACCCATCACTCAAACAACATGTCACTTTGTAGATATAAAATGAGTACTGCATATTGTTTGGAGGCCAGATTTTAAGGTGATAAATATACATTCGTTGGCCACATTTCTGTTACTCACATACCCCTAGGTGCCTGCCCTTTATAGGTTTGATCATATTGGACTGAAATCCAGCTCCACTGTCCTGGATTAGCACTCTGCCCTGTGCTTCACTCTGCTCCCCTCTTCCCAAGCTTATTGCCTGTTTCACCTAGTGTAAAATGTGGTACAAAGAACCTCATCGAGTTCTGTAAAAATTTATTTGAGAACTGGGTGTGTTTAAAACGACTTCATCAATGACCGAGGTGACTCACAAGAAAAAAATCACCTTCTAGACTGTGGCGTCTCCCATTGACTTCTTTTTCTCTCTTCTTCTCCTTTCCTGGTTACAACCCTGGACTCATTTTACCCAAATTAAGGCAAGCTGTGGCTGCAGTCTCACCTTCTACTGTATGGGAGATTTTTTATATTGGTTTGGGCTCTTTCTTTTTGGTAGTTGTGGCAAGTGGTAGTCATCGATATAATCGATAAAATGGGAGGACACACTGACTTATCTTTCAATAGTCCTCAGGGAATTTCCAGAACTCATTGGAAAGACTGGTGCTGAAGGATCATGGCTCACCCACGGGTAGTGGTGCAGCTCAGATACAAGTGGGGCGTTCATCATCTTGGTCAATCAGGTCATTCACAGATACTCTCTGGGTGCCATCCCTGTCTTCACTGAGTTCAAAGGAAGTCCTTCTGAATCACACATGGTTACGGATTTGGCTCACTGGGCTCCATCAGTTCATTCGGCTTTTGTATCTCTTAGAGGAGCAATGAGTTAACCTTTAGGTATTAGGAGACTCATGCTTTCATAGGGAGAAGTAGTATCGATTGAAATAAGACCAGAAAGAGAAAAACGACAGAGCTACAGACACACTCCAGCATTTCTGTCCTGAAAGCCTGTGTGAACCTCCTGTTCTGAACCTAAGGAGCAGAATTCTTATTTGGTCTTCCATATTCCTTACTCTTGCTGGAGGATAAGTCCTACCATTTACATTTTCTTTCATATCCTTGTACTGGAAGGAAATGGAGCCAAGGGCATCTTAGTAAGAGCCACCTATTACTATGTGTCTATTATATGCCAAGGGACAGAGCCTAGGTACTGTTCATAAAAGCAGACACAGAAGGCAGTGTTCAGGTTGCACATTATGTACTTGATTACAGAAGTATTATCAATAGTGAATGGAGAATAAGCTTGCTGGTATCTTACCAGGGAACTACTAAATTAAAATAGTGGTATATTATGGAAGGACTCTTCCATAGAGGAAGTCTCTTTCTCTGTTGGAATTCTCTTGCACATACATGCTTGCACACATGCATACATACACACGTGCACGTGGATGCATATGCCAACATTTAAATTATGCTTGTTGTGGAGTACTCAACTAAAGTTTAATTAGCAGATCTATTTCTGTTATTTGAATGAATATTAACTAAGGAAATACCTTCAAGATAAGAACATTTACTTTCTGCACGTAAAAAATTCAGATTCAAACAAGTTGAATAATTACTAAAAGCCATCTCTTACTGAGTGTCTGCTATGTGCCAAGAGACAAATTATCTAGGTACTATTATTAGATGCTTTTATTTATTCCTCAGAACACCCTTAGATGTAGCAATTGTTACCATGTACTGAAAGCAGGGGAGACTGAGGATTAGAGAGATCATGTAAATTACCCTAAATCACAAACACAGCAAGTGAAAATAAATAGATTCATACTAAGGCCCCTTTGGCTCCTGAGTCCAGCATTAGGAGTGGCAACATGCCATGCTGACTCCATCTGGGGACTAGGGTAAATGACTTGAGTGAGAGTACCTTGTTTTCTGCCTTTAACAAGAGTTTTGAGAGAACAGCTCTAGACATGAAATCTAGAACAATTCTTCTGGGGAATTCTAAGTGATTGCATTGGATCTAGTTGCTTGTCTCTCTGTCCCTGACACTGGCTGAAGAGCCCACACCATCCTCCCCTTCCTCCAGATCTTACTGTTGTGTTGTCATCCAGAGCTGATAAAGGCTTACATTCTTCACTCATCACACTCTGCACTTTGTACTGTACTAACCAGACTTCCTTGAGAAAGGTCAAGGCCAGAGACTCACCCGCCATTTTTCACACCACATTCAGTGTGCTTAGAATGTGACAGCACCTAAGATTGCATGTCAAGTCTTACAAAACCATATGTACGTTTAACAGCCGTAAAAATTCAGGCTGTTTAAAACCCTGGGTTTAAAGTCCACGTTCGTATTTTCTCTTGCCCTTGGGATAAAGAACAAGTTCATTTCCTGGCTTATGGGATCTCCTTACGAGGTACCGGTCTTGGTTCCCCAGACTCCTCACCCCCTTCTGCCATGGAGTGTCTGTATGTTCTTATTATCACAAGTACTGACTCTCCCTACAGCTTTGCCTGTACTGATTTTTCACTCAGAAAACTCTGTCTCCTTGCCTTGAAATCTATATCTCACCCAATTCCATCAAACTTATTCCTCCTCATAAGTAAAATTCTAGTTTAAATAGCCCTTCTTCTATTAAATGGACTTACCTTATCCTCTGACCTAAATTTGTCAACTCTCTGAGCAGCCCATGCTTCTCTTATTTTCATACTCCATTTTTAAAATATGTGTTTGTCAGACTTGCTGTTTTTTCCTATAATTGACAATAATCTTGGTTGGGCCAAACCGTGGGTTACCACTTTATTCAGTGTCTAACATTTAATAGGTACTCAATTAATATTTATTAACTTTATAAATACATGATAATTAGGAACCATCCACATTTATACTGCCCTTGGGAATTTTGAGAAATGGAGTCATAAGTCAGGACTAGTTTGGGCAGGAAATAATTTTCTAATAAAACCATTTCCACCTCTGTTCTCAAAAACAGAGAAAGGAAAAGGTCCAGTTTGAGGTCTGCTAGAAAAGCCCCTTGCTCCCACTTAGGTCCTCAACCCTGCCCCTATTTTACAGACACCTCATTAGGATTTCTGAAGACCAGAGCATGGGGAATGGGTATTTCAGGCTGGGGACTAATGTGCATAAAGACAAGACAATGTAAGCTTGCTCTGCCAACCCACTGTGTTAGGCATTATATTATATTCTTGTAATAACTGAGCAAGACAGATTTTATTATTCCCATTTTTCAAGCAAGTTTACTGATGTTCAGGGAATTTAAGTAACTTGCTCAGAGTCTCATAAAGAGTAAATGGCAGAGCTGGGATTAAAACCAACTCTTCTAACACACAAGCCAACCTCTTCTCCCTGGGGTGCCTGGCTTCTCCATGAGAGATGACCTAAGACCACCGTGGATTCACTGTGTAGAAATGTGGATTCAACCCAGCAGGTAATAGTGAGCCACTGCATGCTTTTTTTCAAAGAAATATGTTTAGAAGCTTATTTTTAAATGTTTATTTCATGAGTGAAAGAGAAATATAGTACTCACTACAGTTTCCCGATGCCACGATCCATTCCCTGACTCAGCCAGCTACAGGTCCTGGATGAGCACACCCTGCATACTCAGTGAGGTCTCTGGATATATACCCAGAACCTTCATATGTGAGTCTGCCTTGCAGAATTTACTGCTGCAACACCCTCCAGCCCCACCATTGCATAGTCTTGAGTCAGGAGGTGATTCTGGTGAAATTAGCATGTAAAATAATGCTAACTTGGCAGCAATAAATTTGATGTATTGAAGGATGAGGGAGCTTTCAGAAGGCCAGTTAGGAGATAGTGAAGAAACACAGGCATTCAGACATAAGCTCTAACAGTGAAAACTGGGAGTACACAACGTCTGGAGGAAAGGCAGGGATAGAGGGTGCTTAGATACAGGACAAAATTGCTGAAGCTAAAATAAGAATGTTTTCAAATTTTGGAGCTTGGGGATACTGGAAAGATAATATGAAAATTTAGGGAAAAAGAATTTGTAGCTACAAATTAGAATTTCATTTATGCATTGTCATT